AAAACACATTGACATCTTTTTGTGAAAGTACATAAGCTATAACTGTAGTATTCTCTTTCCAGAAACTGTTGCGTTTCTTTTTTCCATCAGTGTATATTTTAGCTGTCCTAGAACACAGCCCGTGCCAGTCTTTACACTTGGAGTACAACTTTTATAGGTTGACTGTTTGAGAACCATTCTAGGCAACAAGTATTCTTCTTCAGAGAACTCAGAGGCTGGGGCTTTTCTTGACAACAGCCTTTATTCTTCCAGTTAGAACATGTTGCAGTCATATTATTTTCTGAGTATATACAGTATTTCTGGTTTTATTTTTACCAGAGGCTGAATACTGTTTCTTTCTTTTTCTGAGAATATTGTCAATATTTTTGTGCTACAGTTTCATTGCCTTCGGATGGTCACACTTCTGATGGATGGTAACACATACTGTCAGCCTTTCCTATATGGATAGAACCAGTGACGGTGTCATCGGTAGTGGGCACGGGTCCACTGGCTCCAGGTGTGACAGTGTCAATAGGTGGCAGTCATTGGGGGGGCATGGCCAGGGCGAACACATCCAAGGAGCCCAGGGGGGAAATCCAAAAGCCCAAATGGGGTGATCCAGCTGAGACAGGACAGAACAGAGTTTAAAAACAGACCCAGATCTGGTACAGGGACGGGGAATAAAAACGGGATGACGAGGTGCTCTGAGCCCCGGACGCAGCTGGTCAGGACGCCGACAGGAAGCCTGTGCCCTCAAGCTATTGAACATTTTAATTCCCATATCTGTTTCGCCGTGAAGTGATGAACCAGCGTGTGTCGGCACGGGCCTGCGGTGCTGGGAAAGGGAGGTAAGCCCGCCCTGCCTTGGGCTCGCTGGCCTGTGCTCCTGGCTCCTCAGCGGGCTGCCCCCCAGGCCTGCGCGGGAGCTCGGGAACAGGAATCCACACTGCAGCCGAGAGGGCGGCACCCCCTGCTCCAAGGCTCAGCCACTGCGGTGGGCGGCTTCCCTGGAGGCTGGAGCTTTGCCATGCAGCCCCTTTCCTTTTGTCACCCGGGACACGTCTTTGCCTTTTTTCTCTCGCTGCTGACCAGCTAGGGCTATCGAAGCCCCACCAGCCAGTAATCAGTTATTCTATTAGCATCACTTTTTACTTCACCTTCCCTCCCGAGCGCAGCAGCCGATCCCCCACCAGTCGGTCCCCGGCCCCCTGCACCTGGGCTCAGCCCAAGCCCCACCCCTGTGGCTGTGTCCAGCCGCACTGTCACATCATGTGTGTGTGATTGATAGATACCTGATCTCTGAAATCTGTTCTGCTTATCAGCCTTGAAATTTGCTTTTAGACTGGCAAATAGATTGTACATTTATTCAAAACGGGAATTCCCCTGACAGAGGGACACATTGCCACGTCATACCTCTTGGAAACTTGCTCTAGCTGGCGGACCAGCTGCCCCTGGGGTTTCATTCCAGGTTACCTTCACACTTGGAATCTGTCCTGGTTTTCAATGTACAATATGTCATGGTAGATATTTTGGCAACATTGCAAATATTTTAAAAACTGTTTTTCCTCTGATTCTTCTAGAATTCAACCTCTATGTGGGAGTTTCTACTTATGACTCAAAAAGCTTGACTTCTTTTTCATTCCCTCCCTTGTCTCTTCATGTTAAGATATTTCCCATTTTGCCAAAGCATTCTTCTCCTCTGTCTGGAGGGTTATCATTTCCTTGGCAACTTGAAAGGCAGACAGTTTTTGTCTCCCAAAATCAAAACTTAAATGGAATATTTTACGTTAGCTGAAAGCTTCTGCATTTACCTCTTTAGAAAAGATTATTGTCACCAGCTATATCACTCTGAAACTCAGAACTAGCAGCCAACTGAAGCCGAGCCTTCAGTGTGTGAGCTTGGCCACTACCTGGCTGAGAGGCCTCCTGGCAAAGCTAAGATTGCTGCTGGTTAGTGGGATCAGTAGGGAGCTCTCACCCTGCGCTCATGCCTCAGTATAGTGACGGAGACACTATACTGTAAAAAAGGTGCAGTCCTTTGGGTGAGACATAAAATAGAGGTCCTCAGAGCGATTGTCCTGATGTTCCGGACAGTAAATACCCCGGAATGAAGTCGTGTCTTGACAGAAGGAGGGCCAGCTGAGGGCGGTCCAGGTTCCTCAGTCTGAACTCTCTCACTTCATCTGCCTTCACTATTTTAAAGTCCACTCTACTGAAAGTCCTCAAAATGTCCACCTAAAGCCAATATTTTGGTACTCACAGATTTAAACAATGCCACCTATTTTTTAAGTAATTTACTTTTTGGGAAAATTCCCCCTATTTTTCAGATGCTTTTTTGTGAATCAACCTAATGATTTCAATTGTGTCAAAAATAGTAGGAAACTGTAAGTGATGTCCCCCCACACCGTCAGTGGCTCCCCTTCCGCATGTCCGAGAGGCCAGAGCTGCAGCGCCGGCCCAGCCAGGCCCCCTCAGCACGGGCCCAAGCAGTGGCCCACCTTCTCATGTAGTATCATTAAAAAGCACTTTACAGCACTTTACAGGAAAATGAAAAAAACAAACAAACAAAAACAAAACAAACAAAAACAGTAAAACAAACAAAAACAGTAACTAAGATAGGAAATAAAATTTGCACAAAGGACACGAAGGATTTGAAATGCAGTAGTACAAGATTCAAGCCTATATGGGATGATAATAAATACAGGTTGTGCAGCAGACATTACACCGCAGAAATGTTCAAATGTGATCTTCATGCAGAGTGAACGAGTAAGTTGTATTTGTCTGTAAAACCGTCTCAAAGTTGAAAACAATATTTCTATGGGATTAAAAGAGATCTATCCACGAACCTGCTTGTTTACCATGCAATAGGCCTGCTTCAGGTCACCAGAACTTTGGTTGCCCCATTCTGAACTGCAGGCAATGACAGCAACAGGGTGCTGCACATATCTGGAAATTGTGTCTATTTTGTGATGTAAAATGTAAAAACGTGTACATTTTTCTTTTATTGTGGTTTGAAATGTACTCAATTCTAATTCTTTCAAACGCCGAAATATAAAAATAGCAATGCAGTCAGAAAGGTACTGAGGTGCCCAAGCCAAGTAGCCACTTGAGCAGGAGGATTTTGATGTCGACACAAAGCCTGACAGGAAGCCAGTGCAACGATTCCAGGATAGGAGTAATGTGACCACTTACACTAGACCTGGTCAGGATTCTGGCTGACAAATTCTGGACATACTTTGTCCAGTTTTTTAGTGTGCAATTATTTTCTAAAGTTTGTTTTAGTGTGGATTAAGGTACCCCAGCAAGTAGGGCATTGCAATTATCAAGTTTGGAAAAGATGAATGTGTTAACCAGCTCTTCTGCTACAGTCATAGACAACATAGGATGTAGTCTGGCGATACTTCTGTGACGGAAGAATTATGTTTTTACAATATTTTCCATGTGGATCAAATGTTAAGCCTGGATCAAATATAACCCCCAAATTCTTCAATTTAGATTGGGATTCAACCACAGTGACATCCACAGAGGGTTAGTGCACTGGCTCTAGACAGTAGCTGGAAGGTGCAGAAAAGCATGACCACCATCCTCATGCCACTGCTACTTCAGGATCTCCCTTGGCTCACCTTGCTCAGGAAGGCCAGTCACCTTGTTTTTACGTCATGAGAGGGCACCTTGACTGCAGGCTCAGTCTAGTCACAATATAC